AAGAGGAAGTATTTCTCTCTTTCTCTGTGCTTCTATTCTTCATAGCTAGTATTTGCATTTCAGGTAGTCATTATTTGCGATGGTGAGATTTGTCCAATTGTATCATCCCCTCCCTGATCACGCGAGATGGAGACATGCAGAACAATATTCCCGCGATCTTCTTCAGACTACAGAGGAAGTTGATGATGAGTCCAGAAGCACTACTCCTCATCATGTCTTTATATGTCGAAGAACTCATCCTGGTCACTGCCTGGGCATTTTCCACGGAGAAAACCCTTTGACCTGCTCCTTTAACATCATCTTATTTGATCTTGTTTTGATGATTTTGATTACTACCATGCTCCGTCTTCTTCTCAAGCCTTTAAAACAGCCAAGGATCGTCTCAGAGATTATTGTGAGTAATTTCTGCTATCTTATTTTGATCTGGAAAAATTCACACGATCATATATATAGGTACTTGGTTCAAGTGGCATGTTCCCAGAAATTAGTTGGCCCAAATTAATATAGAATGAATGGGCCCTCCTCTATTCTTAATCATCTTGAGGGAAGCTACCTCTCATTTTCTGTTTTATATTTTGATATTTGATGCGTACATATATGTGGGTGTATGAATGTATTAGTTTGTGAGTATTTCAAATTGTTTCCCTACTAAATTTTTGCAATGCAATGATGATTTTTAAGGCTGGCATATTCGTTGGACCCTCTGTTCTAGGCCAGAGCAAGAAGTTAACCGAGCAGGTGTTACCAGATAATGCCCAGTTTTTGGTGGCGAATCTTGGAGCTATTGGTTTTGCATATTTCCTTTTTGTGACTTCAGTGGAAACGGATTTCAGTGTACTTAGAAAAGTAGGGAAGAAACATGTCTACAGTGCTGTGATAGGAGTCTTTTTTCCAATTACAACAGTGTGTATAGTTGCACGCTGTTTTAAATCATCAATTCATGGGAACCTTGCAAAACCTGTTGGGATTGGAAGCGTTGCTTCAAGTGTGTCAGTAACTGTATTTCCTGTGATTTATCTTATACTTAAAGAGTTACGACTACTAAGTTCTGAGGTTGGACGGATGGCAATGGCCACAGCAATGGTAAGTGATGTGATGGGGATTATTCTTGTTATTGCATTTGTAGCAGTGAAACATGGTCAACATAGTGGTGCCGATGCTTTGTGGTTTTTGATTTCTGTGGTAGTTCTAATGGCCTTTGCGATTATTGTGATTCGGAGCGTACTGCTCTGGGTTGTTGAAAAAACCCCCGAAGGGAAACCTGTAGATCGGTCATATGTGGTTCTCATTTTGCTGGGGGTATTGGTGATGACATTTTTTAGTGACATGTTTGGTCTGGTCTTTCTTCATGCATCGTTGCTGCTTGGGATTGTGATGCCTGATGGGCCTCCACTAGGGGCAACCATGGTGCAAAGGAGCCGAACAATAGTAATGGAGCTTCTTATGCCATTTACATTTGCAATCTTGGGATTGAATGTGGATGTCTTTGCCATGGCCAATTATGGCTGGTCGAATTTGGAACCGCTATTTGCCATGGTTATTGCAGGGTATCTCTCCAAATTGATTGCGACTTCTGTTGTTGCTCTCTTCTTTGGATTTCCATTCAAAGAGAGTTTCACTCTTGGTCTCATGATGAACTTGAGAGGTTTATACGAGGTTACAATATTTTTGAAATGGCTGAACGAAGGGGTAAGCTCTCTATGCTCACATATTCTCTTGAAAACATGATTAATTTTTTGAAATTTCGAAGGGCGAAGGGAAAAGGTTCAAAGTTAATTTCTTAGATTGAAAGAAACTAGCCAGCGTAACCAAGCTCCTATGTGAACAACTAGATATTGTAGTGTAATCCACCTTTCCTTTTTGATGAATAGACCTGCTTTGATTTTGATTGCAGTGTGCAGGTTTAATTGTAGTTTTAGGGCTATGTTGGTGGCCATCCCCTAGTTAGCTCTATTATCCTCTTATCATGACTTGTAGCTTCCTTTTTCTGGTCTTTTGTCATCTAATAAAATTACGTCGCTCTTCAAGGAAAAAAAAATGCCATGAGTAATTTGGGCAGAGGAGGTAAATTAATGAAAGTTTAGTCTAAAGATGAAATGTGATGGGAACTTAGTATAGGTTAGTTGGACTGAAAAGGCCAGCCCTGTACTTGGAAAAATGCACGTCTTCTTCATTTCCGTTTTCTTTTCGAAGTATATTGTAAGAGACAATTAGAAAACGTTGGCATAATGGCTTTCAAAACATTTCACTTTTTGGATTTTTAGGTTCTTACATTTTTTGTTTGCTCGCAGATTTTGGAGACACCTACCTACACATTGATGCTGCTATTAACAACATTGATGACTGGCACATGTTCAGCTTTGATTTGCTTCATCTACGATCCCACAAAGCAATACATGACAAACAAAAGAAGAACCATACAACACACCCCTCCAGGAACAGAGCTCTGCATATTAGTTGGCATACACGATGAAGAATGTGTAGCAGGGCTCATTAACCTCCTCGAGACCTCACATCCAACTATGACCAGCCCTTTTGCAGTCTATGCCATCCATCTATTTGAGCTTGTAGGCCGTGCGTTTCCCGTGTTCATAGACCATGATAAACCAGAACGACCACCCAAGTATATAAACTACAAAAAAATTCACAATGCCCTAAAGATCTATCAAAAACCAAGAAGTGAATATGTCAAACTACGTTCCTACACTGTTGCGACTGTGAAGCGAACTATGCACCAAGACATTTGCGATTTGGCTTTGACATATAAAGCTACTCTAATCCTCTTACCTTTCTGCAATAAAAGACTTCATAACCTTGCAGGAAGTGAAATTGTCAGGCATGTTTATGGAATGCAATCTATAAACTCTAGAGTCCTAGCCAATTCACCTTGCTCAATTGGAATTCTTGTCGACAAGGGTTACACTCATAACCCTATTGCCATGCAATACTACCATCAGCTCTTCTTTCGCAGATGTGTTGTTCTATTTTTGGGAGGAGCGGATTCTCGAGAGGCACTTGCCTACGCGGACAGGATGGCTACTAATCCTGAAGTTTCTCTAACGGCGATAAGGTTTCTCTCATACAATAATATTGGTGATGATGAGATGGAGAAGAAGCTTGATGACGGGGTGGTGACATGGTTTTGGGTGAAGAATGAAGGGAATAGCAGAGTGGCTTATAGAGAGGTGGTGGTGAGAAATGGAGAAGAAACTCTAGCAGCAATCCAGGCATTGGACAACGATAATAATGAACTTTGGATAGTGGGAAGGAAACAAGGAATAAACCAGGTTCTCCTTGAGGGATTGTCAAAGTTGAGTGAAAATCCTGAATTGGGAGTGATTGGGGATTATGTTGCGTCCACTGATTTTGGTAGCACAGCTTCTGTGTTAGTAGTACATCAGCAAATTATGAGAGGATGAGGGCTGGCTACTGCTGACGTTTTATCAGAGATAGCTTTGGTAGTAGGTTTTCTGAACATCCCTGTGTAAAGACTAATTGAATTTTATTGTTATTTTTTTAAAAATACTGGGAATTATATCTTTACCCGATTTGTTGATCAAGTAGATATCAAATGCGATTCATCTGGAATGCCACTGGTGCAAATACTGTCTTGTAACGGGTTCTTCCATCAGGTATTTGCCAATTGTAACTTCTGGAGGTTCTTTCCAGCATTAATGCAACGAAGAACTTGAAATCAAAGGGCAGCTGTTAAGAAATGGAAGCACCAGTTACATGTATCCTCGCCATATAAATTAGTCTTCAGATAAGAACAACCTACATGGAAGCATTATGAAATGCAACTACGTTGATTACACTCTAAAAGTGTAGATTTTCTATTGACCGATGCCAAGTTAAACAATTCGCGACAAGAGATCTAACTGTTAGAACTTGGAAACTCTCAATCCATAAGTTTCAAATCTTCATCGATGGTGGGCTGGCATCTTGTTCGATAGATCTGTATACTTTAATTCATAAGTTTCAAATCTTCATAGATGGTGGGCTGGCATCTTGTTCGATAGATTATGTTCAGTCCAGCCCCCAGCTCAGATTCAGAAATGGTCAAATAAGACGATATCACAAGCCTGTATACTTGTCCATATACTATTTACCATCCAATATTACTGGGGAAAAAGAAAAGGCCAGATTGAGATCAAGGCGTATCTTTCGTCTCACTTGAGCAAACTGCATACATGTTACAATGATAGTATTTTAGAGAGCATTGATAAACTCCACCCGTTTTTTTCTCAAGAAAAGAAAAGAAATGTTGAATAATTGGCTATGTCTTGGTTAATCTGCATATTTAATTCTAAATTAAAAGTGGACTCTATAGAAAAATATTTTTCAATATTAACTCTATAATATAAAATACTAATATATCTAAAAGTCTTATTTTATATCGAAAGATTATAAGCTTTATGCTTAAAACTCTTTTGTTCTTAGATGAAATTTAACTTTTCTCTTTTTTGTTTTATTGGTTTATACATATTTTAATTTATTTTATTAAATATAAACAATAAATTTCTATTAAAAAAATTAAATATCAAAAAACACATCTATAATATTATCATATTTCTCTCTTATATTAAAAATTAATTTAAAATTCTACCCTTAAGCAGGGTTGCAGCACCAGTCAGAACTAAAAGTCACCGTTAAGACTAACGAACCTTGAGTTTTCTTTTTCTCCAAGAAAAGGAAGAAAATTCTAGCTTCACAGCAGGCTAGTGGAATATTCCGTTATTATTTTTTAAAAACTCATAATATTGACACCTGTATATATAAAAATTATCAAACCTATATACATAAACAAACAAAATAATCATCTGCTCTCTAGCCTAAAACGACTTGTCTGCGCTTCCAAGTTCCAACCATTACCATCCAAGTCTCAACAAAACACGCCCTCCCTTATCTCACTCCATTACAATACTGCCACGTGTCCAACCAAACTCACCCTGGCCCTACCAAATTAACCAGAGATAACCCCATATAAAATCACAAGTTCCACAAAATCGTAAACACGCAAAACCCTTTCGCCCCAGCTCTCTAGAAGCCTCTTTCTGTCTATCTGATCGCCGCCTCTATCATCATCCATCATGCCTCGCCGAAGCTCTGGAGGTCAGATTTTTACTTATATTTGTTAGTTCTTCTCTGGGTTATGTTTATTTCTTGAGTTTGTGTGTTCATTTGTGCAACTTCTTTGCTTTAGATTTTGAGAAAACGTAGGCAAGAATGCAAATACAATTCTGTTTCTTTTCTTCTCTGTTTTTTTCCCCCGTTTTGCGGTTAGGGAGGCCGGGTCGTCTTGATTATATTTTTCTAGTCGTTTTTTCCTTAAAAAAAACATGTAGTTTGTGTTAGTCTTCTAATTCGTGAAAGTTAATGTCCAGCATAGAGTTTGTTTCATTTTATCTGTTTAGATCTTGAAAGATGCCTGATTGGTATGGGTTTCCATGTTTTTTGCTGATATAAATAAGTGGGTAGCTTGATTTCTTGTTTAGTTAATATTGAACATGAAAATTTGGCATTTAGATTCTGGTGTTTTTCAGCTTTTATAATTTTTGGGTTGATTCATTCATGTCTTGAATACCCCTTTCTGATCCGTTTCATTTCATTGTTTGGGATAATCTTTTGAGCCCTTTACGGGTTTCCAATCATTTTGTTTATAGACTTTTGTTAATCAATTCTGCAACTTGCATGAAATACCGATGACCCAACTTCTTATTTACACATAATTCAATGTTTTGCAGGAAGATCTGCCCGCCCAGCTCCTCGTCCTGCACCAGCACGCAGCCCACCTCCCCAAACAGGTAATGTTGCTCTGCAGAATCTTGCAGTGTATTTGAAGATCTCAAAACATCTTTTAAATATACTCAAGAACAGATTTAGTTTTCATGCATCACATTTAGTTTTGGATATAGGATTTGAAATGCAATTTTACGCTGTCATCTTAAATTTGGCGTTGCTTTTTTTAAGCAGAGCTTGGCTTTAATTCATTATTTTTTTCCTGATGCAGTTAACCATGCTCCTCCACCAGCTCATACTCAGAGTAGTGGTGGTGGATCATTGCTCGGAGGCATTGGCTCAACCATAGCTCAGGGTATGTGAAAAATGGAATGTTGTTGTCTTGGGATTGAAATTGTCACTTTCATGTTGTATCTTAGGCATGCTATATATGATTTGAATCAGCATAAGTCTGAATTTTTCTGCTCTTCTGTTCTCTCTTAACACAGGCATGGCTTTCGGTACTGGAAGTGCAGTGGCACACAGAGCTGTTGATGCGGTGATGGGTCCTCGCACTATTCAACATGAAACCATAGTCTCTGAGGCTGCTGCTCCCTCAGCACCCGCTGCAAGCAGTATGGGTGGTGCTGATGCATGTAATATCCACTCCAAGGCATTCCAAGATGTACGTGAACTTTTCTCATTTGGTTACTTTTTTTCTAAGATTAACCATCTTAAATTAAGTGATATTTTTAATGTCTTCTTTCTTATTTCTGGTTGTAAAATTGCTTGGAGAATGCTAGAGAGTGACAGTTTGGCAAATAATTTTCTTCTATGCTGCCTCATCCTTTAACCTAACTCCCATTTTTTGTCCATGCATCATCGTCATGTTTAATTTGAACTAGTGCTTTGTCCAAATCTCATCCAATGATTTCTGACTAGGTTCCCTGAGATAGGGATCGGTAAGAATAGTAAAACAATCTGCTCAGTGGTGTCATTGCGAGAACAAGTTATTCAAAACATATTTTAGACTCCAGTCTTCAATATGAGCATTATAACTTAGAGGCTTTCTCTTGCTAAATGCTTGGTTTTTAATTTTGTTTTTCTTTCTGTTCATGCCTGATGCTGCTTGTATTTTTTTATGTTATACCCAAAGTTAGGTTATTAATTGCTCTTGCATTGTTTCACTGGTCTTCCTTGTAGTGTGTGAACAACTTTGGAAATGACATCAGCAAGTGCCAGTTCTACATGGACATGTTGACCGAGTGCAGGAAGAACTCAGGCTCTATGTTGAGTGCCTAAATGTTGGCCCATTGCTTTGCCATGAAATGGAGTATTGGCTTTGAACTATATTTCTATTTTGATTTATGTGATGGTGATGAAGCTATAGTCCATCTATGGTACATTTATTAATTTTTGTGGTGAATTACTAGATGCTGAGATTCAAATACTCGACCTTCCAGGTTATTATTGAAACCTGGTTATCTGTGTTTTGTTCCATCAAGTGCACATTCATCTGATCGAATGCCAATGGTTGGTCTTGAATAATTACGGACAGTGATTCATTGATGTTATCAGCTTTCCTGATTCTTAATAATTTTGGTATTTCCGAAATATACACACTTATTCGGAAATATTAAGAGAGTTAATTTGCATGACTTGTGTACGTGTTTTGAGGTATGAAGTTATGTTTTATGAATAAACTACGAGTAATAAGTCTGAAAATTTTCTCGGAGATAGTATGAATTTGAATCAATGTGTTATAGGTGAAAACACTTCACATCCAATTCAAGAATTTATTTTTACCTAAATAGGTTGGTATAATTTTGGGTGGACATCAGAAAAGAAAGTGTTATTGAAATTTACCCCTATTGTTGCAATTTTACCTTTCCAAAACCTTATGTCTCTGGCACACGCTTTAGAGAGTGCGTATTAATTAAAAGTCTATAATTGAGAATATAATAAAATCTCAAATTATAAATTTACAAAGTTACGATTTATGAAATCTGAGTTTTAGAATAAAAATCTCTAGTTTATCGCAAAAACTAAAGTTCCAGGTGTTCATGTGCGTGTTCCTCTCCGTAACTCTTTGCAATCAAGTTACCTTTTTCTTCTGGATTCTTTTCAATTGCAATGGGAAAATTTACAGGCAGAGAGGAGCTGCAGTGTATCATCTTCCCATAAATCCAAGAAGAAAACTGTTGCGTGCGATGCTGTTGAATTTGTCCAATCCCTTGTGATTCTCAGCCTTGGCAACAGCTTTACCACCAAAAATGCACCGCGTCACTGAACTCTTGCACTGACATAGACCGCACAAGATTGCAGGCATACCGACACCCTCCACCCATAAAACCACGAATTTATCATCTGGGCACCCTTTTATCCAATCTAGTTTTACATCGCACCATTGATCTCGAAGTCAATGTTGCTCACCATTGATCAAAGACTAGTGTCGTTTTGATTCGTGAGAGAATGACTGAAATTGTTTGCAAGAAGTTTATTGTTGTTGTTAATGAAAGTGTTAGCGTGTTTGTTTTTGTGTTCAAAAAATATTTTAAATTTTGTTAAAATTAACTTGTTTTATGTGATTTTAAATTGTGAATCAAGATTCTTAATCAAATAAATTAAGGATAAAATTCACAAAAACAATAACCAAATAAATAATGCAAAATAAAAAAATAGTAATTAAAAAAATTAAGACAATTTAATATAAAAATTAAATAAAATTGAGAAAAAGATCAATTAAAAAAATTAGGACTAAGTTTGACATAAAAATAAATTAAAAAAATGTTTAGGGATGAAATTTTAAAAAAAAAATCAATCAAGAAATATTTAGGGATGAAATTTTTTAAAAAAAATCAATCAAGAAAATAATTAAAAAAAATACCAATTAAAAAAATAAGAGCCAAATTTTATAAAATAATTAACAAAATCAAACCACTAAAGAGGTAATCGAAAATAAAATCAAATTAGAAATAATCAATGTAAATAAAATACAAAAATAAAATCAAATTAGAAATAATCAATTTAAATAAAATAATTAAAATTAAAAAAAATGACTGAATAAAAAATAAAAATTGAAAGGCTAATATAATTTTTTGCATGGTCAACACACAATTAAAGAGAAAAGAAAAAAAAAAGAAAAACAAGAAAAGCAAATTGGAGCAAAACTAAACCCAACAATCATACAACAACTACTTGGGATGGAAGAGAATATTAAAACAAATCAAATAATATAGCATAATTGTGATTCAAACAACAATAAACACTCCTAGAACCAAACAACAATAATAAAAAGAATTATCATGAAATGACAATCAAGCCACTAAAGCCAAAGCTAACAAATTTTAATTGCTAGGATAATGGAATAATTGAATTATTCATTAAACAATTAAAATTGCTATAAAACCCTTGGATCAAAGGTTCTTATTGTTAACTTTATATGGGCAATATGGTAATTGTATTATTATAAAAAATAAAAAGATATTGTTCCTAAAAAAATAAAGAATGATGAATTAACTGTATATAAAGACCATTTTACTCCTGAAACAAAATTTTATAAATAAAAAAAGTACAGAGTAAAGACAATAATTTCACTATAACCCAAGACATGTTTTAATAAGAATTGGGCTATAGTGAATTGGACTATATGATGGTCACTGGAAGCTTATATGGTCGTTAATTTTAGGGCCTGTGGGATAGTGAATTGGGCTATATGATGGCCACAGGAAGCTTATATGGTCGTTAATTTCAAGGCCCGTGGGATTAGTCGTGGTGCGCGCAAGCTGGCCCGGATACCCACATTAATCTAAAAAAAAGAATTGACTATAGTGAAACAGCACCACATAATTTAGAAAGAATCGGCTATAGTGAAACAGCACCACATAATTTAGTTTTTTAGTTAATAATATATAGAAAGAGTCATGGCAACCATTGATAAGGAAAACATCAAGTTCACGAACTCTTGCAAAATACACATCATCAATAATATACTTCAAACAAAATTCACAAAATAATAATGTAGTTTTTTTCTAAAAATAAATAAAAGTATTACAGTACCATTTGTCAGGATCCATATAAACTCCATGGGTGGCAAATTCACGAATAACAATGTCATGTCTGAAGGGCCATGATCCAATAACATTGCTCTCCTCACTTTATATATACACACACAGGCGTTGATCAATTGAAATAGTACGACATCATAGCTATATGTGTTTGATGGTTAAGCTAGAAATTAATGACTGGCCAGAAATAATGTCTGCTAGGACTACCAGGAAAAAATTGTGGCCAGTATAACGGTTCAGTGTCTCGAAAAATCATCAAATAAGAACAAATAAAAAAATATCAATGATGATGATGTCAAGTTTGTACACTTACTTCGAATAGAGCGATAGAAGGTAGCTGAAACGTCGTCATTATGCAGTCGATGATAATGATTATACACAGTAGACAGCACTTCATCATGTAGTTTAATCAGCTTGGACTTGACAGAAGGGGCTCTTTGAGACGGCGACTTGGCAAAGCCGACCTGTTTTTTGGACACGGCTGCGTTTGTTTACTGGGAGGTTTTGCAATTGTGGTGCGGAAAAAAAAATATTTTAATATTTTTTTAAATAAAAAAAACTTTGAAAAGTAACCATAATAATACAACTATCAAATATTTTATACATATTTTTTATTATATATAAACCATAATTATAATTTTTATTAAACATGTATTTAAATTCAACTAATCACATCTAATTATATTTTTAAAAAAATTATTTTTTTAAAATTACAACTATAATCTAAAAAATAAATGCAAGTCGACCTTAACTAGCAGCTCGTAAGATAATATAAAGCAAAAATCCCTCCTACGATATCCAAAAATCAAGTAGCATTTTTTAGTCATTGACAGTTGTTGTAGGACAAGTTCCCAAATCACCACATACAGGCCCAAAACATTGAAACGAAAGCTTCAAAATGGTACCCCATTTCGGTGCCTGCATTTTATTCAAGCAAGTATCCATGCAATATTATTTTAGATTTATTTGTTAAATGATAAAATGAACTACTTGATTTCCACAACATTCACTCCGGGTTCCTGGTTCATCCAAGCACACATAAACGATTTAACAGTTCGTTTGGTAAGAAATTGTGACCGAGGAGAGGGAATGAAGGAGACGGGAAGGGATAGAAAAAGATTAATGGAGATAATTTTCTTTGTCTGGATAGAATAGTGAATGAAGGGGTGATAAACATTAAATATCATTAATACCTTTTTAATTGAATGTAAAAGGAAGAAATGATAAATAGGATAAAATTAGATTTTTCAAAAAATTATAAAATTATAAAGTTTATAAATAGGATAAAATCACTCTCAATTTAAGGGTAAGACTTTAAAGGTAAATGAATTTTCTTCCCAAAATTAAACGTGTGTTTGGGATGTACAATGTAAGGTGTTTTTTAAAATATTTTTTTGGTTTGAAAATATTTTAAAATAATTTTTTATATATTTTAAAAAAATTTAGCACATAAAATTAGATTTTTCAAAAAATTATAAAGTTATTTCCTCCCCCCTTAATCACTCTCAATTTAAGGGTAAGACTTTAAAGGTAAATGAATTTTCTTCCCAAAATTAAACGTGTGTTTGGGATGTACAATGTAAGGTGTTTTTTAAAATATTTTTTTGGTTTGAAAATATTTTAAAATAATTTTTTATATATTTTAAAAAAATTTAGCACTAATATATTAAAATTATCATAAAACACTAAAAAAATAGTTTATTTGTTTTTTAAGCCAAAAATACTTTTAGAAAAATATCAATATATATATATATATAAAATACTCTTAAACACACCCTTAAAGATACATTGTAAATTTTAAAATATTTGGAATAATGTAATGAAACAACTATGAGACATCAATTAAAAATTATTAAAAAGATTGTGCGGAATGAGACCAAGTAAGAAACCAGAACATGTAAAAGAATCTAGGTGGTGGCCAAGTGGTAAGAACTTGGGATCAAGGGGTTTGCTCCCTCTGTGATCTCAGGTTCGAGTCCTTGGTTGCTCATATGATGGCCACTGGAGGCTTACATGGTCGTTAACTTCAGGGCCCGTGGGATTAGTCGTGGTGCGCGCAAGCTGGCCCGGACACCCACGTTAATCTAAAAAAAAAAGAGCGGGTCAAAAATCAGACCTTTGTAATACAGCTGAAATGAAATAAAAAAAAAACAAAACAAAACAAAAAACGTAGAGTACATTTTTTTTATGGTCTCTTTCCAGAAACCAGGAACGGCTTCTGTTTTCATGGTTTAAATGTGCATTCCAGTTTTTAAATTTCCATTGACTAAAAATGAGCTGGATTTAAAAAATAATATAATTTTTTTTAATTTGTTTGAAAATATAGTTATAATTGTTTTTTTAAAAAAATTATTGGGAAATATATAAAAATAATATATTTTTTAAAATTTATTTTTAATATCAGCGTATCAAAATAATTTTAAAAAATAAAAAAATATTAATTTAAAGTAAATAAAAAATATTAAATATTAAATTTTTAAAAAAATATTTTTATAATACAAAAATAAACTGGAAAAAATTTGAAATATTT